TTTTTTTTTTTTTTTTTTTGAAATTTAAGGTTACGTCACAAGTATTAAAATAAAAATTATTTTTAAGGATTAAATGGAAGGAGGGTGTGAAATTACATGGAGTGGGGTGTGAGTGTGACGTTATATTTTGACTGTGAGTCAGTGAGTGATCACAAGTTGAAATGATTATTACATGTAATAAATATAAAATGTATATTACATGTAATTTGATAAACGCAATTAAAAAAATAAATATTCAACTTATTTAATTGTAAATTTTGCCTACAAAAAAGAAAAAGAAAAATCATTAATACAAAATCGTTATTATAATTATTATTATTATTATTATTATTATTATTATTATTATTATTATTATTATTATTATCGGATCAAAAGAATTACAAGAAGTTGGAGGGGAGCCGAGATACTATCTGGGCCCAGGGGCGAATTTACATTAGCTTTACATAGTGTTTGGTTCAAGGGATTTGGAGGGGAAGGGAGGGAAGGGGAGGGGATTTTTTAATTTTCCTTTGTTTGGTTTGTAATTTAAGAGGGGAGGGGAGGGAAAATTTTAAGTGAAAATCCCTCCCCTTCCCTAAATTTGCTCCCCTCCAAAAGTGGGGGAATTTGGAGGGGAGGGAAAATTTTAAGTTGTAAAATTACATTTTTGTCCTTTATATGTAAAATATTTTAATTTTTTATCTCTTACATCATTAAGGGTATAACTGTCATTTCAACACTATTTTCTTTCCCCTCCATTTTCTTAACCAAACAAGGTTAACTATTTTCCCTTCATTCCCCTCCTACAAAATCCCTCCAAACAAGGTAAAATCATTTTACATCACCTCCCCTCCCCTCCCCTCCCTTCAATTAAAATCCCTCCCCTCCCCTCCCCTCATTTGAACCAAACATAACCTAAGGGGGGGCCATTGTCCTCCCCAAACTTTTGCTTAATACATATGTATGTATATATATACATATAGATATATTCTAAGGCTTATAATTTTTTTAAAATATATATATATTATAAATTAAAAATTTATAAAACATATCCAATTTATACTCATTTCCATAATTATTACAAATAACTGTATCGCTCTATTTTTTAATTAGTTTTAACTACACTATATCTATACTCTTTCAACAATGTTTGATAATTTTGTGTTTGATCTTAAGTACAATTAAATAATTTAAGAGTAATTTGGAATAGAAGAACATTCAACATATGCAATTCAATAGTTCAAAATAGAATTGTTAGAACTATTAATACGGCAGTAGACATTCTCTTGGTTATTTAATAGTTAGAACGACTACACTCTTCCAACAAATATATTTATACTTTCATACTTAAATACCATATTTTACAGACAAATAAAAGTATGACATTTTTCATATTATGACAATGCATTTTTAGTAGGAAAATATATTTGATTTAACAATTAGACAACCTACCAATTATAGCGTTTGTGTTAATATCGAGCAAATAATTAATGAGTTTCGTGAGTTTAAAGAATGTTGAGCATTTAAACTAACAAAATTAAGAAGTTATGTATTTTATAGTGCAACTTACTAGTTATTTTATCCATTATAAAATGCATAGTGCAACTTATTAATTGTTTTATCCATTTTAAAATGCAATTTTATGCCTACATATATGTTTGTGTGTGAGAGAGATACTATAAATTATATAATTTTTTTCGAAATGTTATCCGTGTCAAGTCAAGTTGAATACATCATGTTTAATCTACAATCCACTCGATTTGTTTAATAAGGAAGTTTGAATAGTCTTTCTAGCTTGACTCATTTAAATATATGAATAATATGAGATCAAATTATCACAAGTTAACAAATACAGTCCGATTCAAATTAACTGCTTTGGCCCCTCCCAAACTTTTTTTTGGATCCGCCCCTGTCTGGGCCCCCACTCCTTTTGCAATGGAAAAGCTAACACGTGTGAAAATATGAGGAGCAGCACGCGCCCCCACATCCTGAGATACCGAAAACTTCTGTATCCTCTTGAGTAGGGCAATGGCATCTGTGTGCAACTCCCCTAATGAAGAGAAAGAGAATGGGAGAAATCCATAACCCTTAGAAGCACATAAAGCGTCATATTTCGCACGTTTCCGACGAGCGGCATCAACCACAACACGTCCCGGGACGAAATCAGACATCCCAGACTGGGTCAAGGGCGAAGAACTACTACTACAGCACCCTATCAATAAATTATACATTATTATTATTATTATAACTACTACTACAGCACCCTATCACATTAATGATAAAATATTTACTTGCACCTTTTTAAGTTAATTAAGAGAAAAACTTATACATTTTATATTAACTGAGTAATAATTGCATTTTTATTGTATCATATAATAGTTATTATTAAAATTAATAATTATATTTTTCACTAAATGATAAATAAAAAAATACATAAACATAAAAAATTATATGGTAATAACTTTTTTGTTCAAGTTATTTATTCTAAAACCTATATTATATTTTTATATGATTAAGTGTCTGCTTTGAAATAAATGAATTTGTTTTAATGTCATAGTAAAATTTCTTAAAATCGGAGAAGCAATTGATATAATAAATTTAATATTTTTCAGCTAATTATTTAATCATGATCCCTCAAAATTATAAAAACTATATTATTTATTACATTTTATGCAATCAATATAGTGATTTATATGCAATCAAATCGTTATGTACTATTTATTTTAACTAAGGATCAAATTTTAAAAATAAATATATAGCATTATCCAACTTATAATTTTAATATTATACGCACAAATATAACTTATAATATATTATGTTTAAAATATAATATTATTATATAACTTATATATTTAATATCATATGCATACAAATAACTTATAAAAATTTATTCACATTTATGCAAATGCACATGATCGACTACTAGTTCACTTTATAACTCTAAACTCATAATTATAATCCCCTTTAATTAGTTAGTGTGCAATTTAGTATACAATATAATCGATTTTGGCTGACCATGGTATGAAATTATTACTTTAAATCGGTTGGACTCCTTGAGAACTCGTCCTTTACACCGGTTGATCGCCTTGAGTACCTACAAAAAAGCCTAAACCGGAGAGAATAATCCTCCAGCTCGGTCCTCCGATGATTAAGTCAGTCCCTTTCGTGATGTCAGAAAATGTTCTTAAAGAATTCTTGTTGAAAAATCTCTCTTACCTCCCTGAAGACCTTACCTTTCCTATATATATGAGCAACGTGGTTTAACTTACGACTTAACCACCTGGGCCACGTCTCCGATATGCCAGGGACAGTTATACACCACTCCTTGACTTAACGCAGTTTCCTATTATGTCCCTGTAATCCCCCTTCGATCAGGTTTGGAGATCGATCTATCTACCTGATCGATCATCATTCCACATATCTCGACCGGACTAATATGTGGGCCCGAGAGCTAGGAATACTATATCCCACATCAGACCAGATATTATTTTTTATTTTTTAATTTAAAATTCAACTCAAATACTTTTAACTTAAAAATTAATATAAATTTAGTTCAACCAAATTATTCTCGATATTATCAATATAATTAAGTAATACTAATTAATTATCCCCACACAGAACTTTAATTCACTATTTATCTACTCATATATTTTTATCTATCTATCATTTCCATCATCTCACTTACTCTTATATCACATCAATTTTAATTGCTACATTTTAAATAATATTATAATACAAACCCCTACTCAATATTAAATTCAATCAACTTTAATTTAAAATTAACCCACTAACTAATAAATCTAATCAAAACCAATTATATTTATATTCAATTAGGCCATTAGTTAATAGAAAAAACAATGCTATATTGTGAAGGGGAACCAAATAAAAATCACCTTTTTTTAATTTGTGTATTAAATTTTTTAGGTTTCACACTTTGTTTATTTTCAAGTATGGCACAACATGTGCGCAGCTCAAGATGATACTTCCGAAGGTATCATGTCAATGGTGATTTCAAGTTTCAAGAGAACTCTATGGGGTGGGTTATTTTTTTAAAAAAATATAAAAATCTGTGGCAAAAAATAAAAAAAGAAAAATAATTGTGGAAAAAAATCAAACGGACGGATTCTGAAAATACGTGTTTTTAATTAAAATTTTTAACCGAAACACGGATTTTCAGAATCCGTTTTTGTTTTACATTTAAATTGTTTTTTAAAAAATAAAAGTCGAAACTGTCGGTGGATTTTAATATTAATACTGGACAACGCGGATTATCAAAATCCGTGTTACGTTTAAAAAAAAAAACGATTAACACGGATTGTGAGAATCCGTGTTTTGGTCAGTATATACAACTGCATACTGTTCCCCCGACCACAAATCATTCATCAATCCGAAATTTTTTTCTCACAAATCATTCATCAATCCGAAATTTTTTTCTTTTTTCTGTTCGATTTTTGAAGACAATCGGGGAAGA